TCCAGGGCAGGATATAGGACTCTAAGTCACTTCTGCTTGCAGATCCCAAATCTCTCTGGGTGTTTCTAACCACCTCCTTTGGAGAACAAGGATTCAGGATAGGCAAGAATCAGGCCCATACTTTCTTGTTCATCTTTCTCTGTTTTAGCAAAGCTCCTCCCCCAATCCAGGGAAGGTTTGAGCGTCTTCCTGTGCAATGAGAAACTGCTCTGATGTCATATCCTGTGTTCTTTCTACTCTACGGCTTATAGTTGCAGCTCTCTGCTCAGTCCTTCAAGTTTGATTCTCCATAGTTCAAAACCACCATTTATTTATTTATTTATTTACTGTAGGATTTACAGTATGCATATTTTACTTAACAGGGTCTTCCTTTGAATAACATACCACCATATGGGTAATATATAGACTTTACAACAATATACTTCCATTTGCACTCTCTCATTCTTTGTGCTGTTGTCATGTTTTTCTTTTACGTGTTATCTATCTGACATTACATTATGTTTTTTGCTTTAAACCATCTATTATTTTAATTAAAAGGTGAGAAAGAAAATATGTTTCTGTTACTCAAAGGGGCAGTATGTTATTGCCCCTTTCAAGCATCCTTTTCTTCATTTTTGTAAATAAAGATTTCCATGTAATGTCATTTTTCCTTCTGCCTAAAGAAATTTCTTTAACATTTCTTTTAATGAATGTCTACTGGTGATGGATTCTCTCACCTTTTAGAAACCAAAGGTCTTTATTTCACCTTCCTTTTTGAAAGATATTATTATTGGTTATAGAATTCTAGGTTGACAAGTGTTTTTTTCTTTCGGTGCTTTCAAGATGCATAGAATATCTTCTGGTTTGCATAGATTTTGATGACATGTCTGACATCATTCTTTGCTCCTCTCAATGCAACGTGCCATTTTTCTCTGGCTTATTTTAAGATTTTCTCACAGTGTGTTTGTTTGTTTGGAAATTTGATTATAGTACACCTTGGTGTAGTTTTCTTTATGCATCTATTTATCCTGCTTGGTATTTATTGAAATTCTTGGATTTGTAGGTTTATAATTTTATCAAACTTGGAAAAAACTTTGTCTATTATTTCTTCAAATATTCTTTCTGCCCCTACCCTGAACCCTCACCCCCCCACCCAGATAGACTCCGGCTGCCTGTGTGTCAGATAGTTTTATGTTGTCAGAGAGGGCTTGTTTATTGATTATAGATAGTTTTATTACTATAATTTCAAGTTCACTGATCATCTCTTCTGTATTATTCAATCTGCTATTAATCTCATTCAATAAAAACTTCATTTTGGATATTGCATTTTTCATCCCTGGAAGTTCCATTTGGTTCTCACTTAAATATTCTATTTTAATCCTCATTATAATCAAGTTTTATTTTATGGTTTGAACATACAAAACATATCTTTAATAGCTGTCTTAATAGCCATGTTTGTTGATACTATTGCTTGATATTTCTGGGTCTGTTTCTATACACTGATTATTTTTCCTACAGGGTATGAGTCACACTTTCTTGCTTTTTTACATGTCTGGTTATTTTTACTGAATACTGAGCATTATAAATTTTACATTTGGGGAGGCTACAAAATGCTCCTTTTTTTTTCTAGCAGTAATTTTAGTTACTTGTAGATTAGTTCAGTCCTTTCCAGGCTTACTTTGAAACCCTGTTGGATGGACCTACAGTAGGCTTTCTTCTGGGAATTATTTAGATTCATGTCTAATGCCTGTCCCTACTGAACGTGCCCTGTATTCCAACAAAGCCCCTTCACTTTGGCTGGTGAACACGCAGACAATCCCTGGCCTCGTGAGTTCTCTTGGGATTGTTTGGCTTACAGCTTCCCAAACTTTAACCTTATCTCCTGGAATTTTTTTCTTGCCAGGTCATGTAGAGTTTCATCTTACCCACACACAAGATTAATATTCAGCCAATAACTCAAAGGGACCCCTGGGCAGATTTCTGGAAATCTCTCTGTAACTGCCTTCTCTGCAGTGCTCTGTCTGGCAAATTTAAGCAAACTTACCCTTTGCAATCTCTGCCCCCTCAATGCAGTGAGATTGCTGGGCTCTCCCTGGATTCCTGTTTCTCAGCTGGAGTCTGAACTCTTTTTTCCAAATGCCTGGTGATGATAAGACCCAACTTGGGGTTTTTTTCACTTTTCTAAAGGATCTCAGTCCTGTGCTGTCTGTTGTTTAATGTGTAAAAATAATTGTTTCTAAGATATTGTACAGTTTGCTAGTTACTTACAGCCAGAGGGTAATCTGAACTTTTAATTCCTCATAATCTATAGCAGCAGTCCTCACAGTCGTGCTATATATACTAGTATTTTTTTCCAGGTTTTTAATTAAAAGGATATTTTTATTAAAAATATAGCTAACATACAATACTATATTAGTTTCAGGGATACACCATAGTTATTCAACATTTATATACCTAAAAAAGTAATCACCATGATTAAGTCCAGCAACCATCTGACACTGTATTATGCTGTCACAATATTATTGACTATATTTCCCAGGCTGTACGTTACATCCCCATGACTTTTTTTCTACCTGGAAATTTGGACCTCTTATTCCCCTTCCTCTTTTCCCTCCTTTTTAAATTTTTTAATTACAGTTGACATTCAGTATTATTTTATATTAATTTCAGGTGTATAGCATAATGGTTAGACATTTACATAACTTATGAAGTGATCCCCCTGGCTAGTCTAGTACCCACCTGGCACTACACATAGTTATTACCATATCATTGACTATATTCTATATGCTTTACTTTATACCCTCACGACTATTTTGTAACTACCAATTTGTACTCTTTAATCCCTTTACCTTTTTCACCCTGCCCCCAACGTTCTACCATCCATCACCCCCCAAAATCTAATACCCATCTGACAACATGCATAGTTATTACAATATTATTGACTATATCCCTTATGCCATACCCTACATCTCCTTAACAACTGTGTAACAACCAATTTGTACTTCTTAATCCCTTCCCCTTCTTTCACCGACACCCCCAACGTCCCTCCCATCTGGCAACCATCAAAATGTTTTCTGTATCTAGGAGTTTGTTTGTTAATATTGTTCTTAGATTCCACATATAAACAAAATCATATTGCATCTGTCTTTCTCTGTCTGATATACTCTACTCAGCACAACACCCTCCAGGTCGGTCCTTGTGACTGCAGACGGCAAGAACCCATTCCCTTCCATGACCAAGCAATATTCCATTGCATATACAAGTTATATACCACCTCCCCTTTATCCATTCATCCATTCAGGGACACCCAGGCTGCCTCTATATCTTGGCCACTGTAAACACTGCTGCAATGAACATAGGGATGCACATATTCCCTCAAAGTAGCATTTTGGATTTCTTTGAATAAGTCCCAGAAGTGGGATTACTGGATCCTTCATTGTGTCTTCTTATATCCTTTGTTTAAAAGTCTATTTTGTCTGGTATAAATATTGCTACTTCAGCTGTTTTGTTTTGTTTTTCCATTTTCATGAAATATTTTTTTATATCCCTTTACTTTCTGTCTGTGAGTATCTTTCAATCTGAAGTGAGTCTCTTGTAGGCAGCATATGTAAGAGTTCTGTTTTCTTATCCATTCAGCGCCTCCTATTTTTTTATTTGAGCATTTAATCCATTTACACATCCACAGCTTATGGGTTGCTGTGTGGGGGGGGGCAGACCACATGGAGTAGGATTTGCCCCCTGTGGGCTCTGGTGCCTGTTGAGACCACCCTTTGTGCATGCCGCTTATGGGGCTAATTGGGCAGTGCTCTGCTGTGGTCTGAAGCCAGCCTCCAAGTGTGTTGGTTCTGGGGCCTCTTGGGAGGAGCTCCGGTGCAGGCCCAGGTCACCCACTGCCTGTGACAAGCTGGGGACTACCTGGTAGGAGCTACAAAGTGATCCACTGTTGTTTGCTGCCTGTGCTGTACCTGGAGGCATGTGGGAGAGGCTTTGCTGTGAACTCAGGTCAGCTGCCACCAGTACCCGGCCTGGGATAACTCCACAAAAAGCCAGGACACCTGGAGGCCTGCCACCTGCCATCTTGGATCGCCTGTGTATACTAGTTTTTGATGATTTCTTTTCACCCTCAGAATTGTAGCTAGTGCAGTGAACTTTCCTGAGAATGCCAAGGATTTGCTTATTCTTGGTTTGAAAGGAGAGATTCACCTGGAAATTATGGACATTCTATAAGGAAAGAAAATTTTAATTCAAGGAAAAATAAGGAAATTAATTCAACGATATTTATTGGGCACCTTCTATTTGCCAAGCACTGTTCTAGTCGTTGGGGGAATATAACTGTGAACAAAGAGATTTAAAAAACAACAACACTCTGCTTTACTGAGTGCGCTGTGGAGAAAGCAGAGACAGAAGCAAGCAGCGAGCATAACAACTAAGCAAAATCTTGAAATCTGTAACCCGTCAGATGGCAAGTGCTGTGGAGATTATCGAGAACCAATACTCCTCCTAGCACACATGTGGCACTGGTTGGAAAACATGGCCACTGTCCCTTCATAAATCTTAATGACAGAGGCCATCTGCTTAGAGGTAAAATGGCCAACTCTGTTACCACAAATGTAAATCTAATCTAGGGCCATCTCGTCATGTCCTGGTAATCTCTGTGATTTATAAATACACCAACCACAAAGTCACCTTGTTAGACGTATTTGCTACCTTGCTTCCGTTTTCCCAACAAGACTGGACGTCCCATGAGGGTGGGCATCAGGTCTGGTTTTGCTCCTGATTATATCCCCAAGCACCCCATATAGGCTTGCTCATTTGGAAAGTAAATATTGGTCAATAAATATTTGTTAGCTGTTAAACACAGATGCTGAAGAGGTTCATGGATGTATCAGGGGGATTCTTGATAGCTGCCTGGTTCATACCTTTTAGGCACACTCTCGCTTTTCCCTTTAAAATTACTAGCCAGTGTTTCTTTGAAAGCTACCTGTTGCGATTCCACTTCCCTTCTTTCTCTTGTTTTGCAGCGGTGCAATCATTGCATACCCTAAACGACCAAATATCTCATTTTATTGTCACCAAGTCGAAGGCGCTGGAGGAGGACAAAGACCCCTTTCTGCCCGCTGAGAAGGAGACTCTGAAGGGTTCCATGATATTGATGAGGCACCTCCTTATGGATGCTCAGGTACAGAGATCAACAAATTCTACATTCTCCATTCTCTACACGCCCGGTCGGCGGTCTCCTGTTTCGTCTTGTTTTTGGCATAAGCTGTGCAAAGATGTCCAACTACCCCACTTCTTTAAAACTGCTGCTGTGATAAACAGCCACGTCACAGACATTCTGATATATTGAGTATTGTGTCTCCAGTTCGATATTATTTGGGATTTAGTGTTAAAGTCACTCGTTTTTAAGGCAAAGTAGTAGGGCTCAAAAATAATATATGCGTCGTCTCTGCGAATTTAACAGATCTCCCGCTAGCCTTGGAAAAGTGAAAACCATTTACATACACACTTGGCAGGCATCAGCGTTGGCAGAGCCTTTGGGTAGAGCAGGATTATCCCAAACAGCGTCGCTCAGTAGCTAATGAATATTGTGGTACGTTGGATGGGCCACCAGTAAGCGAATCAGCACCAGTTTGGGTTTTTTGTCGTTGTTGTGTAATGCTAACAATACATTAATTACGGAAAGTATTTAGCTCATTGCCTGCTATTGTTAAGATGTTACTCTTCAAGGTTTCCCCTTGTGCATGATTTTTATTGAAATATTTAAAAAATAACCTGTCGACTCCTTCTGGCTTTGTTGGTGGGTCTCTCTAGCAATGTTGATAGGTAAACACCAGGTGTTTTAAGAGACGTGGGAGTTTTCTATGTGAGTGAGGCCAAGCTGAGCTAGATGTTATTGTCATTCCTACCTCTTCAGCATCTAGAAATGTTTCAGAAAATGACCTTTGGGTTTGGTGATTGCATATTAATTTTCCCTGCATCATTCTTCCTGAGCTGGTTTTCTTCAATAGCAGTGAGGGTCAGAATGGCTGGAGATGTCCTACGTTCCGCTCCGTATCCGATTTTGAACTGTGGTTTCTTTGCTTTTGTTTCTACCATGGTGGCGTTTTATGTTTGATTTTTAAAAATCAATCCTGAAGTCTGGAACTTGTACCAATAAGACTTTAACTGGCAAGGCTTTTATGCACTTCTCACCTGTCAGTGTTTGAAGTTGCTCCCGTGGGATTTTTTTCAGCCCCTATGTGAGATGGCCCAAATTATGCAAAACCTTTCCTTCTAGTCACCCTTCTCCCTTCTCTATATCATGAGCGGCCCATTAAGCTTCTCCTTTCTCCCCGAGCCTGCCTGGTGGAGAAAGGAAAGATTCTAAAGCTACAGCAGCCAGTTTTAAACCTCAGAAGAAAGGGAAATTTAGAACAATTTACCAAATCAAAGAGAGCCAATTGTTCTCGAAAGGATTAGCTTTCCTCGGCTCCTGGACCCAATCCTATAGCTAGCACCCCAGCCAAGGCAACTGTCTAAAGAAATCCCCAAAGATACTGTATAAACTTCAGTTGGCAAAATCCAAGGGAATAAAAACTATTCATCTTTTTACCTCTTACTGGTGCCTAGAACTAGATTGCAAAAATGTTGCTTGAGGAAATACCGTCTCCCTCTAAATGCTGAATTCATTTGACAATGTTCATCCTTAGTAGTGTCGATCGCAAGTTTTTCCTTTGTTTTATCTCATGGGGCTGAAATATCCAATATAATGTGGTTACTGTGTTGGAACATTTTATTATCTCCTTCTCTCCTTATCCCAAATCAAAGCCTGCTAGAATGCTCTTGCTGAAATATCTAGATAAAAGGGAGCAGCGTATGGTGGCTATCCCCCTCAGTCATACACTCTAAAAGGACCATGGGTTGGATCTTCCTCCTGAGAGGAAAAAAACCAAAATCATGAAAAGTCAGGTACGAAAGCAGAGTGGTGTCTGGGAACCTTGTTTCTTTTGCCTCCTGTTGCTGGAAGATTCCTCCTCTTGTCTTTCAGACTAATATAGGATGAGGTAGACCGTGATTCGTTTAGTCTAAAAATACCACCCCCGTTTCTCGTCTTCCGAAACCACCAACTCTTTGCAACATTATTTGTGGTTATGATTCTAGGCCCATGACTGGTCAATTAGAGTCACCTCTGAAATATACTCTCTCCTTAGAGCCCCAGGCTCAGAGCACCTCTGAAATACGCTCTCTGTACGATTAAGGTGGCCACGCTTATAAAATGCTAAGGTACACCAACATGTGGGGGATGGCCGGGGGGGATATGTGGTTTTTCAGTTTTGAAGTTGACGTCTATAGAGACGTTAATTTTAATGAGAGTCTTTATGGAGCGTTTTTGGAAATTCAGTTATTTTCCAGTTGTTTTTTGACTTTGCCTCTCCCCTCAGTTCCAAAGATGAATGAATGTACTGATTTCATATTCTAAGCTCATCCATAATAGGAGGGCAGCAGAATATGAATATAGCTTCCACGTCGCTCCTTCCTGTCAGGCTGCACTCTGTGATATTAATAGACGTCCGATAGGTGTGCGTGTTGCAGGATGTAAACTCTTCAAGAGCGTAACCACATCCCTTAATTTGGTTGATATGGAAGCCTGCTCAGTTCCCTGCTCAAAGGACTCTTAACAGTATTAGAGTATGATGAAACACTCTGACATCAGCTAGCAGGTTGAATGAAGTCAGGCAAAAGGTATTCCCGAGAACCTGAGGCTGCTGTGCAGAGTGACTACTTCAAAGGCATCACTGAGTCAAGTCACATCCGTCTTGGAAGCAATAAATCCTGCTTAGGAGAAAGGCAAAGGCAAAAAGCATTGCCGGGCAATGAAATTCCACTCTGAGGATTATAAAACGGTGTGCGCAGAGCAAACACGTCTACCAGGTATAACAGGGGTGCCAGAGATGATTGGCAGCTCTGACAATTCGCCCCAGAGAGTGGAACCAAGAAGGAACATGACACACGGCAGCCCAGAGGCCCGCGATATTGATTCATCCCCTAAACGTTTCCAGCATGGGGGTGTCTGAAAGGGGATCGATGCCTCTATTTGCATTCTGTTCCCTTTGTAGTCTGCAGGCTTCCCCATTCAATGGAGTGTACCATTCAGATCACATTTGAAACCGGATCTTGGGGCTTCTATTCCTGAGAGCTCCGTCTAAACCCAAACTGCCGACTCAGCCTCATAAGTGATTAGATTCATAACACCGAGGAGGCAATTCTTTCTGGTGGAGATTAATTCTTTTACTCGTATGTGTGACTCTGCATGCTAAGAGGGGTTGATTACAGCAAATTAAATCTCCTATTGGTAGTTGCCTCCTTCTTTCCCCTGAAGACCTAAGATCATTATTTATTAAAGGACGCACAAATGCTTGGAAAAACAATCAGGTCGCTTTGTGGGCTGTTAGGTCTTCCTCTCCCAGGCCGGGTCCTAAGCGGCAAAGCCACGCTGTGTCCTGCGGGGTCTCCTGCGGGCCACAGAATATGGAGTGACCGGGGAAGGGCCTGCGTCCCGCTGACCCTCACTGGTGCCCAGGCCTGGCAGTGAGCCAGGTGTCTTTCCTGAACCGCTGTCTGCCTGGGTTTGGGGGGTGCGGGGGACTCCTTTTAAATGAGGCTGAGTCACTGGTTCACCCCACCCAGAGGTCCATCTCCAGGAGTGAAGTCAACAAGCCTTTTAAAAAATAAAATCAAAATAAAATAAACCACACTCTCGTCATCTCCAAGCAACTCTGTGCTTACGTCCTGACAAAATTCAAATATGTTGGGTGGAAAATAAATGAAATCAGCTCTATCTCCGGGGCCGCCCCTCCCCGCACTGCTCTCTCAGCCCCATCCCTTTCCTCTTCGCTTTCCTCTCTCCCCTTCCTTCTCCCATCCCCCAGCCTCTCCCCTCCTTCCATCCTCTCTCCTGTCTGATTCCTACTCCTCTCCTCCCCCCTCCCCCGCCCCCTTCTTAGTTGAGATGTGGAATGAGGCTCTGCCCTTTTCCCCGGTGCCTTCCTTCCCCTGCCCTGTTCTTTGTGCATCTGCCTTTCTTTCTGTTGTGTGTGTTCAGGGAACCTGAAAGCGTATGCGCCAAAGACCTGCACTCCCCTCGCCCAGCCAGAGGGAGAGGCAGCAGGACGTGGCGTGATTGGCAGGAGACGAGCCTGGCATTCAGCAGGTAGGTGAGGGCCCTGCCAGCACCAGAGGCTCAGTGTGATTTGGGTGGCTTCATTTTCTTTTCTAGAAGGGTTTAGGAAACTCCTCTGGTTGTTTATGCTTTCTGATTAATTTCTGGTAAGGAAAACAAACAAACTAACAAAAAACAGTCGGATATAACGTGACTAGATTAGCCGTTGGAGCGTCCTGGACACTCATGCCCTAGGCTAGCCTCAGCTAGGGAAGCGTGGTTTGGACCAGAGACCCCACCAGGGGAAGCCTTGGCTCCTGACGAATGGGAGGGTCAGCCCTGCACAATGCATGTTGGGAAGGGGACCCTGGGAACCAGGGAGTTCACTCACTCATTACAGAGGTACACTGCAAGACGATGTCTCCCATCACTAGCACTTTCCATCCTTCCATGTATTTTCTGAAGTCTGCCCTTGCTCAGGGCATGCACGTGTGGTTATCACTGGTGCAGTTATCTGGTGCTTTCTAGCTGCAGCTGGCTTCACGGTCATGCCCACAAGTGTCACCCTGTTGATGGCCCTAGAGACTCTCCTGCCCTCACATCATACCAAGTGAGGCACCAGAAGGATGCTTGACATCTCAAGCTCATAGATGTTGGCTGTGGCTATGAGTAGGACCCCAAGTGTAGATTTTCCTTGTTCTCTTTGGAAATGTGATACCTTGCTGGAGACATAACTATTGTAGAACTCTCTCCCTGTGTTGTGGCAAGTGGAGAACGAACTCTGAAATTAGAACGAGAGCAAAGAGGCAAAGTTTTCATCTTAAGAAAATTAACCCAGGAATATTTTTAAGTCTACTCAGACCATCAGATTTCCACCTCTTAACGGCCACAGGAGAAAGAAAGACATGGAGACTGCAGAAAGAAGTTCCCCTAACTAGAAAGCTACAGTGATAAGCCAATCACTCAAAGGAGGCTTAGGGGGCTGAGCTTACCCCTCTGGGAATTGGTGTCCATCCCCCATCCTTACCCTGCACCTTGAA